TATCTTATTCTATGCCCATTTCCTTGCATTGGGCTTCTTCATGATTCACTCATTTGAAATAGCACAAGCCTACAATGACAGCACCCTAAAATGGCACATTCTCATCATTCAAACAGCTTCTAGAACCTCCATGCTTTCATGCACATTTTCCTCTACTTGTGCTTTTTTTTTCACTGACATCTAGCCTGGTTATATCTCCATAAGTTTGCTCATTGTTAATCATTTTCAGTATCTAGTCTCCATTATTATTCAAAGTCCTTCATCCTCTGTGAAACTTCTCTAGACTACAACAGCACAAACTGAGTATTCCTCTATTTGACTTTTTGTTGTACTTTCAGTTTTAGCATATACAGTGAAACCAGTGAGAGCCAGAACTTCTCGGGGCCATCTTATTTTTCTGGTCTTCCAAGTTTTCCACCTTTGAAAGGATGCAGTCTTAACACTTTTCTATCATGCATTTCGGTGGACATGATTTGATGTTCCCTTCTCTGACCAGCTTCCGACTTATGTAGGTTCTGGCTTTTACAGGTTTCCAGTACTCAGCATTAAGGTCAAAAGGATATTTAACATTTGAATCTTAATTTTTTCATCTGTAAGAGAACAGCATGGCTTTCCTATTTTGTCAGTTTAGAAGAAGCTGCAATAAAATGATACAGCTGAAAATATTAACTATGGGGTGGGGGGAGCTGGTGGGAACCTTCCAAAACAAACTGATTGAAAACAACCAACTGTAGACATCATAAACTTTTGTAGCCATTAATAATATACTTTGTCCCTTCTTCAAACTTCATAAAAATTCCTCAATTAAAGAGTTGCAATCCATTTTCACTCACCGTACTTGCTCTCAGCAATTTCTATTAATATAAAACCAAAAACAATCTATATAATCTAATAAAATGATGCTGCATTTTATTTAATTCTATCTAAAATTAAAATCTATATGGAATCTATTTGCACATTCAAAGATATTCCTGACAGACTGTACTGTGGTAGAAATAAGCATATATCATACAATTCCATTAAAAATACTTATGGCCTTGAAAAAACACAAAATACTTGTACTAAGGGTTACAAAGTCCTGGTATGATGCTGTAGGGTAAGCACTGGGTTGCTAATCACAAGGTTGGTGGTTCAAACTCACCAGCTGCTCCTCGGAAACCCTACACAGGATTGTTATGCATTGGAGCCTACTCAACAGCACTTAACACAATGAATTTCTCCACATGTATCAGCTGTTGTGCTAGGTGGGGATGCAAAGCTAGAAACAGCCCTTCTGTCCTTAAGAATGTTATCAAACAGAAATGAGACAATCATCAAAAACACCTAGAAATAAACGCAACTGCAATACGGGTTGGGGTGGGGGGAATCACGTAAGCTTTTCATTCCATTTCCCTACAAACTTGGTGAAGCTCTCTTCCATACTAAGAAGATGTACCTGGCTCTACAAAAGCACTTAGAGAAAATTTCAACAGAGGCAGAAGATGATGGAAGAGCAAGTGTTCACTTGGGAGGGCGACTCTTCCTTTTGCTTGTCTCTAGGTTCTGTAAGGAAATCTACTGTTTCCATAAGAAAAAAAAAACAGCACAAGACACCAAAGAAAAGGATCCACATTTTTCCAACTTTGCTCCACCCTCCCCATTGACCTTGTAAAAAGGTTGTTTCTAATTTGCTCTCTCTCAGTTAATCTAGCTTGCTCCACTTACAAGACAAGGCCTTCCTGAACTGTTAAATTTGGGTAGCAGGTCCGATGGTAAACGTTCTAATCATCAGGTCACTTTCTCTTCTTCTATGCACTGAATTAAATGAGTGGAGCATGAGTTAGTAGGCATGCTATTATTTCCATTGTTTTCTTCTGTAATATTTCCAAGAGTAAGGAGCAGGGCTAAGTGATTACAAGTGAGTTTGAAATTTAAAAAAGTACAAGAGAAAACCCACAATTCTGAAAAAATAAATAAAAATGCTTAAAAGTTTCCCAAGTACTTTATGCTGTCGTTGTTAAGTGCTGTCGTGTCAGTTCCGACTCACAGCGACGACCCTGTAATGGGTTTCCGAGGAGCAGCTGGTGGGTTTGAACTGCTGACCTTCTGGTTCACAGTAGTGCACTAAAATCATCAAATCATTTTTCAACCAATTTATCTTTGTGCCTTGTATGAAAAAAAATCCCTAAAGAAGGCTTATTCCTAAGCATATGCTATAGCACAAATGAGTGATGAATAACTATTAATTGAAGAAGAAAAAAAAAAACCTTTATTAAAATAAGTTGGACCAAACTAAACAAAATGAAAAGTCCCTCATGCCCAAGGTTTTTTCTTTCCCTAAGGTTTCCTAGAATCTTCACATACCAACCCAGAATCATGTAACCACCATCTGAAGTCCGCAAGGTTATGAAAACAGCACATGAGGTGGCAAAACCTGACCTCGCTGACGTGAGGCTTTGCAGCCTAGGGCTCACTTAGTCAAACTCTTAATTTTGCTGTAGAAATCATGTGTTTGATTACAGGATATTGGCCCAGAGCCCAACAGAGATTTGATGTTAGGAGCTGTTGAGTCCGTTCTGCCTCATAGTAACCCCAAATGCCCAGTCTTGCGCCAACCAGAAATACCACTTAATAAATGCTATTTGCACCATAGTTCCCTTGTAAAATCTGAAGAATTCAGAATTTCAAACATACCTGGTCCTAGAGTTTCACAGAGTACGTGCCAGCCTACCCTAGTGATGCACAGTGTGAATCTTCAGGGGTACCTCACAAACCCATGGTCATGGGACTCAGTTACTGTGAGTGAGGACCTCACGCTGCAACAGGGCATATACACCCTAATCTGACTATAAAGGGCCAAGAGGCAGGCCTCTGATAATTAAGGAGCCCAGGACAAAACCTCAGGAAGACGTAAATTGGACCAAAACATATCTAAAATGTGCTTTATTACTGATATAACATGTTAGGGAACATTGTTATAATAGTAGGGAGTTTTAGTAACTGGCCCAAGCCCCAGCCCCCACACCCCCCAATACTAACAAGGGAGTGAGAAATTACCAGCCAGAGCCTAATGCTTCTGTCACTGCAGATGTGACTTTCTGAAAACTGCTCTGAGAAGACAATGAGAACATTAGGGGCAAGTGTGTTGCTTTTTTCTATTTCCTGCATGTAAGTCTTCTCTCCCAAACCACATCGTCTCAGGAGTGGGAATCTGCCTCCTGAGTGAAATTTTCATTCACTTCTCTAGAACTGGACACGAAATCAAACTGGTAGACTTTTTTCTCTAATCTCCGAACATTCTGAACTCCCATTTCAAAAGTGTACCAACTCTCTGTTTACAGAACATTGTTGTTAAGTGCCATCAAGCTGGTTCCAACCCACAGTGACCCTGTACAGGGTTTTCTAGGCTTTCAATTTTTGTGAGAGGAGAAACCCACCTGAGTAATTGTTTCTAGTCTGCTACTGGAATAATCTGTTTAAAAGTGGCTCCAGAGTCTACTTTATCAACCACTATAAATCATAATTACATTTGAGCAAATCAAGAAGTGTAGAAATTTAGGAAAGTTTTTAGTGACAGTAGTATTAACACTACTACTAGAGAAGTGACAGATTTATTTCAAATTTTAAACCATTATTTAGTATTTTAGAAGCTAATATATTAAAGCGAACTTGCTAATAAATCCCTGAAACTTAAATATTATAGCCTAGTGGATAGTTTGAAAAGTTTAAACTGCTTATTTCTGAAAGCTACTGTTTAAAACTTAAAGCTTTTCATCACTTGAGTGAACAACTGAATGTTTGCAACTTTTAGTACAACAAATTAAATATTCCTGTTAACAAATTTCTTTTATTTCAACACGGTTAACTGTATCTAATAATTTTAAAAGTTGAGGTATAAACCAACTATATCAGTTTAACAAAGAAATGTACTTCCTCATTACGAAATTATTGGGAAATTTTCATTATCTTTGCTACTGTGCAACAGGAATGCTGCTGTTCTTGTTAAGGCATAGCTGGTTCCAACTCATAGTGACCCTGTATAAAGTTACCGAGGAGAGGCTGATGGGTTTGAACCACTGACCTTGTGGTGAGCAATCCAGTGCTTATCCTACAGAGAATAAAAAGCTGAAATCCACAAATGATGATGACAAACCACAATTCATTTTAGAAAGCAATTTCAATTTTTCCCAGTCAACTAACTTTTTATTAGTAATGGCTAACAAAATTCGTCATTTGTGTTGATCTCATCTCTCCTCTTAGGAGGATAAGAAAAGACAAATGTACTAAATGGCAGGTAACAGGAAAAGCAAAAGCAGCCTAATAATTCAAGCAATGAAGAAGTAAAGACGATTTTTAAGACTTTTGTTGTTGATGTTTAAGTAAGTTTGAGACTAACAGTTTTCTTTTTTGATTTACTTACATAGGTTTGTTACTAATAATACTTAAACTTGCTGAAAGACAAAAGCTTACAAATTATAGAAATATCCTTCATGTTTTATTGGTTAATATAAAGTTCTTCTATCTCACCATATTTTTTTCATAATATAAAAATGTATACTAAAAACAGTGCCTAAAAATACAAGATGTGGGGAAAAATCACGACCCGGAGAGACACTAGCTTGTGTTGGGTTTTAGAAGGGAGTGAGTGGTTATGAACTTGCAGTCTTAGCACTCCGATTTCCTGACTGCTAACGATGCTTTCCCCACTACAATGGGCTGACACATAGTCTGGGGGATAAACCTGGAAGATCACATATGGAAAAATGGAGAATTATTACATCCAAAGATTTCCAAGTAAGAATTAAATTCAGATGTACTGCACCCCCTATTTTTTTGTTAGTATACAGATACAACTCCTCCGCTCTGGGTTGTAATCATGGGGAATGAAATAAAACATGATCATTAAACACATACACACACATACATGTGAAGCTATGGATTTCAGCTTGCTAATCCAAGCTTTGAGGACTCCCAGCTGAAATGTGTGTAAATGCAGCTCTCACCAGAGTGTGTTAACTTACCAGATTTGTGCTTCTTATGTTTCGCTTTCTTTTTAATGATCAATAACTTATTCTGGATCTCAGGCTTGTAAGACTTGAATGCAAGAGAATGAAGACCTTCGCGCTTTCTGTGTATGCTTTCATTCAAGACATCTTTGAATTTCTTTTTTTTCTTTTTCTTCTTTTTTGCCCGCATTTTAGTTAGTTTGAGTTTCTTGTGGCTCTGCAGTGACTGTTCCAACAGGATCTCCTTTACAACTTTGTGGCAGTTCACCTCTGCGTAATCACTGTAACTTCCATTTACATGTATTTGGCAAGATTTTAGAGCATTTTCTTTTAATGGACTCAGTTCAGGCTTTACTCTGGAAGCTTCACCAAATCCTTCCTGATTTTCTATAATCCTTATTTCACCTGGGCTGAGAGGCTCTCCAAAGTCAGTAACTTCCCCTGGACTCCCTGGCGTCACCAAGTTCTCTTTACAGCAATCAGCTTTTTTAAATTCACAGGGTCTGCGAATTCTAATTTCACAGTTAGATTTTACTTCCATTTCAACAGAGATGTCATGATTATCCAAGTTAACTTTAGCAGGGCAACAGGCTGGATCAAACTGAATTCTCTGCTCTTTCTGGAAGGCAAAGGGCAAGTCATCTCTACTGCACCTATGTTCTCCATTACTTGTATTCACGTAGTCACACTTTAGCTTCTCTAGTTTAATGCGAGGTACTCTTTGTATTTTGATGGGTGGAACTGGAAATTCAGGGGCTTGGAAGGGTCTCTGTTTATAAATTCGAACATCTGCACCACAGAACTGTGGAAAATGTACGTAAGCATTCTCCAGGTAATCATAACCAAGGATAACTTCCCTGCATTCATGTATAGGCTGTCCCAGTACAGCGTCTTGAACTTCTTTTTGTGTTTCATACACAAAGTCACAAAGACCCTTAAGTAACCATACTTTTTGGTAGAACGGTAGTTCATGGAAATGTTTTTCTTCCAATGGGTTAACCTCTCCAAGAACTTTAAAAAACTGAGGACACAAGCCAAGCTTCTCAGCACAGCTGTCAGGATTCTCGGTCTGCCCCACGGCTGTGTACCACTGCTGGACTCTCTGTCTCAAAGCTGCTTCCCAGGTCCTGTAAGGCAAGGTAGGTCTCCGATGTAAGGTAGGTCTGCGATGGGGGGGACTCAACAGAGAAGTCATTATTTTTGATAGAAAAGTATTACACTGAGGCATCAGAAGACAACGTTCCAATTCATAAAAGACAATTTCTGGCAAATTTAGAATTTGCTGGGCTAAACAAAGGAAATGCCCAATAGCTGGAATTTCCCACATGGTCTCCATACAAGTTGGAGCAGCTTGAGCTAGAAGTTTTCTTTCCCATTCTTCTATCTCTTTCTGACTTGCTTCCTCAGCTTCTTTTCTTTCCTGCTCCCGAAGCCTAATGAAAATAAAATAAATTTAACTGTTATTACTTAGAGAACAGCATAAAACACTGTACTTTAAATAAGTACATTTCATTTATCTTCAGCCAACAAGCAGCTAGTTATTCTAATCTGCAGCATAAGTACAAAGTACCCCACAATAGTTATCATTTTTTCAGATGAATATACATATAACTTTACCCTGAGTTTTACTGATAGAATAGTCTAAGAATTTTAAAGCATTTAAAACACATTACATTTTAAAGTAAAAAAAAAAAAAAAAATGGAGCATGTTTATTAACAGAAAACACATGGAATTTGATTATAATTTCTAGTAAAAATATGACTTCATATAGGAGTTATCAAGAATATTTACATTCTTTGAGCCCATAATTCTAATCTCCTGAAAGTTATACTAAGGAGCAATGTAACAACACTAAATGTTATAGAAGAACAAAGCAGATGGGAGAACAATTGGACAGGTCTCAATGGGCTAAGTGAGACAGAGGTAAATAATGATATATGCACAACCTGGAAACAACAGGGTTCTGGGATACAGAGATCAAGCCATGGTTGGAATGTGGAAAAGGGGGTAATAATATTAAGATGCTTGGCTGTCTTTTGAATCTTGGTTTTCCTTGCATTATATATTATAAAAGAGACACTGGAGGGGGAGAGAAAGGAATAGCGAAAAGCATCACCATAGAAAGCTTGTAAGTCCGTCTTCTGCCTATAACTGATTGGAATACCTAAAATGGGGCTACAA